AAGATAATGTCCGTACAATGCAAATAAATATAAAATACACTTAGTTAACTGTATTTACGGTGTAGTAAAACATATTTATTGAGCACCAAGCGTCCAGCGGGCCCTATGAAGACTAAGAAAATTCTTAAAGGGAATACTTCCCCAGAATAGCGGATCATCAAGTCTAAAAGTATTTGGTTAAGAAATTAAAATAAATAAAAGCAACATAAAATATTCATTACAACTTACGTTGATAAATGATTTGAAACTATAAGGAATTAAACGTAATTAACCATATTAATTCGTTAAATTCAAGAAAAGAAAATTAAAATTCATTACCTGTCAAAATCGGTCTTGTTCTATTTGGATCCATCGAAGTTTTTACAAAAGGCTCTTGATTATACACAGTATATGAGCTGGTGCAAATTTTACACACCAAAACAGTAGAAGTTATAGTACACCAAAGAGTAAAATTCCATAATGGATTTGTTGCTGGTTTGAGAATCATCTTTTCATGATCAACACAGTAAGGTAGAGGAACTTCTACCGGCTTAAGAGTCGGATATGGTTCCTTCATTTTAAAATTCTCATTCATCAGCATCTCTTCTTCCGCTTTTGGAGGCATGACATTGTAATTGAATTGGATAATCTCCGTATTTATAGATGTCAAACCGGTTTAATATAAAATGCAAATCATTCCACAATGACACGGTTGAATTTGGAGTATACTAACCCCTGTAATATATATAGTAATATAGATGGTTCCGATTGGTTTTACAACGACTACCTTTCCGACGGCTCAATTTTCTCTCTAACAACGCGATCTCAGCTTCGCTTTCCTAACAACACGATTTCTCTGCTTCGCTTCCCTAACATGATTTCTCGACTTTACCTTCTGACAACACGATTATTTCTTGATTTGTTTCAGCCTCACTACGATCTCTCAGCTTCACTTCCCTAACAACGCGATTTCTCAGCAATCTAGTTCAACCTATTTTACTAACGCTATGGAAAATGTTTGTTGGTTAAAAGATTTAAAAAATTATAGCTTACATCTTTACTAATTCAATCTTTTTTTTTTTTTTTTTTGCCTGCAGTAAAACATACAGGTGACATTTCTCTTTGATCATAATACAGTTAACCTCCCCAAGTGCATCCTCTATAAGTGGCACCCCCTTTAAATTCACGCTTAAGCTTGGTTACAGGATCGGACTTAATGCTAAGCACACACCTCTCTACCTTTGCACGTGTATAAGTTTGAGACCATGTATATTGTATCCTTTGTAAGTGCGTGTGCATGCGTTTGGGACCAAACTTTAACAATGTGCACTTAGAAAAAGTGCATTTATTGAGGTCATCTATATAGTTGAGCCCGAATTTAAGCGTGCATTTAGAGTGGGTGTGCACTTATAGAGGGTGCACTTATGGAGGTTTTACTGTACAGAATTTATACCTGATACCCTCTCCAAATACACATCATACGGCTTTAAGAACCTGCATTAGAACGGTTTGAGTTATTCGCATGTATATTTTTTATTTTTGTTTAGCTTGTTAAATTTTTCATAGTTGCACACTTTTCTAAATGCATATTTACCTTGGTTCCAAGGGCTTGCACTTAGAAAGATTTGATTGTAGCATGCAACAAGTAAATTTAAGCAGAATTACGCTTGTGTAATTTGTATTTTGTTACATATGTAGTTCATATTTCCATGTATAGTATGCATAGTTTATATTCATTGTATAGTTCATATTTCATTATGTAGTTTAGATTTTATTGTCCATGCAATTTTTAATGTCATATTTTGTTTATATTAGAATTCTTTATATTAGAAATAAATAATGGTAATACTGTATTGAAATATAATACTAAATCGTTTGTAGAATGAATATTATAATAAATAAAGTCATTAAATTCAAGCATATTAAATCATTTTTATTTCTTTATTTACTTTGAGTTATTTGTTATTATACAATAAATATAACCAAGATAACATACACTTGACAAACCTATCTGAACGAGAAAAAGAACTAATAGACTCATAGTACCCATAGTAAACTAAATGTGCAAAAGCTTACAAGAAATAGAAGCCGAATTAGATAAACGAATTAAAGAAAATCAAGAAGAAAATCAAGAATATCAACCAGTGTCAAACGGAGAACAAAGAGAATATAGCAGAATTAAAACAATTATTGACCAGCGAAAACCAGCGGCAAAAGAACTAGTAACAGCGTATATAATACTAGCTATACGAAAACAAGAAAACGAAAACTACATTCAAGAAATAGCAACTGCATATCAACAAGACTATAACAAAATACTTGAACAAACTAATAAAAAATATAAACTGCGAAGAGGTTAATGAACCAACCGTGGTTAGTAAAACTAACAGATAATCAATTAAGTTTTTGGCTACAACAATATCCGAAAAGACAATATACGAATAAACAAATACTGTGGATACAATCTGAATTCAAAAGAAGATTTGAAATTGAAATACAAGCATATCCTCAAATACTTACAACATTTGAAGTAACAACTATAAGAAAAGT